GGCTAGTTCTTCCCCACTCCTCATCACTAATTCCAACGCTACTCAAGGAGTTCCACAGCAGCTCGTTAGGTGGCCATTCTGGGTTTTTACGGACCTATAAGAGGATAGCGAGTAATCTGTACTAGAAGGTGATGAAGGATATTAAGAAATGGGTGGAAGAATGTGCAGTGTGCCAACTTAACAAAAGCTTGGCACTTACACCAGCAGGCTTCCTGCAACCATTACCGATACAGCAACACATTTGGGAGGATGTCTCTATGGATTTCATTAAAAAATTGCCCAAATTAGTAGGGTTCGATTTAGTGCTAGTCATAGTGGATCGCCCTAGTAAGTATGCACACTTCTTGCCACTTAAAACACCTTTCACTGCTTCGGGGGTCACCAGAGTGTTTGCAAAAGAGGTAGTCAGGCTTCATGGGATTCCACGCTCCATCGTGTCAAAAAGGTTCTTGAGTCATTTTTGGACGAAATTATTTAGACTCCAGGTAACTCGATTTCACGGGAGCACAGCCTATCACCCACAATCCGACGGGCAGACAGAGGTTGTCAACAGGTGTGTGGAAACATACCTGTGATGTTTCACTTATGACAAACCCCGAAGTTGGAGTTCTTGGCTACCTTGAGCCGAGTACTGGTACAACGCTACCTTTCAAATCTCTAGTAAGGCCACCGTTTCGGGTTGTGTATGGGCGGGACCCTCCCCCACTCATTCATTTTTGGACACATAAGGCAGGCGCCTCAGTGATAGAACAACAATTGATGGACAAGGATGCTATCTTGGAGGAGTTGAAAGCTCACCTCAGCCAAGCTCAGGCCAAGATGAAGCTAAACGCAAACATGCATCCACGAGATGTCCAATTTGATAATGGCGAGCTAGTGCATGTGAAGTTAAGGCCATATCGTCTCCACTCTTTAGCGGGTGAATTAAAAATTGGGACCCAGGTATTATGGCCCTTTCAAGATCATCCAACGAATTTGTCAGTAGCATACAAATTGGAACCACCTCATACCGCAGCATTCACCCAGTTTTTCATGTGTCTAAAGAGTTAGGGACTGAGGTGGTAACCCCACAGATTCCTTCCCAGCTAGCTGCTACCTTAAAATGGGTTGTGGAACCTAATCATGTGTGGGGATCTCGTGTGGTAAAAAGGGGACAGCATTCTAAACAGGAAGTACTGATACAATGGAAGAACCTACCAGCATCTGAAGCATCATGGGAGTCATACAAGTCAATCTACCAACATTTTCCTAACTTACACCTTGAGGACAAGGTGGTTTTGGAAACCAAGTGTAGTGATAGAACCCCTATACGATTTACTTATTCTAGAAGGACCCAGAAGAGGGTTGGGGGAGCAGGCCGGAAGTAATAGAATCAGGTGATGAGGAGGTTAGTTAGTTTTAGAAAAATCTATAGATAAGTGATGAGGAGAGTGTAGTAGGCACGCAATTAAAGAGTGAGAGGAGAGGAGTAGACTGAGTTGTTTCCTGTAATCTTCAGCATTCCATTTCTTTTGTAATCATTCCTTCATTTCAATCACAGAAAATCTGGTTCTCTTTTATCTTGTTCTTGTCAGTTTCCAAGAGAGTCCTATCACAATGGTTATTTGTTCATTGTGGTATCAAATATAGGAAAGGATCATAGTGTTTGCAGAGGTATTTTTCTCTCTAAAAAAAGCAGGGACCACGAGGTACTCTTTTCATATTTTGATTCTCCGAATGACAGCAATTTTCTATGTGCCCATCTATATTACTCCCTTCTGTATTTCAGTGGGTTTAGCAGGTACTTAGCTGCTCAAAGTGACAGTGATTTCTTTCCTTTGCTCAACCAAGCCCCTCAACCGCCCTCCTTGATTAGCAAGACCATTTGATTGCGATAAGCTGCAACAGCTTGACAAATTTTAATTCTCATCTCACAGAGAAAAAATCATAGGCACCATTGTCTCATGGGCTGTTGATTTCTGTGGGTTCTTTTTAGTTGTTCAGATCAAGCCTTTTTCTCTAGCTCATGATATTCACTGCCATTCTCTCCTTATGCATCATCTCAAATCAACATAGCTTCAGAAATAAAGTCGAAATAAGAATATTATTTCCCATGGTGCATTACTTTTACCAAGTTCTCCAAGGAAAAGTTCCTTTCCTGCTCTTATATTCTTCTTTAATGCATTGCCTAATGTCACGAAGGAGAAAAAGTATATTCATACTAATATCCATGTTACAAGAAAGTGTCTCAAACCAGGTTTTTAGCCATTATAAGATCTTAATTACCTTCTTTATGCGCATGGCAATGTCTCCCATATAATATGAACAACTCAATGTCAAATTTCTCTCCGGACTTGCATTATCTGTAACATCACGTTAAACAATTTACGTCAGTCAATATTACAATTTATCAGAGAAGATATAAAAATGTAACAAAATAGAATGCAATTGGATGAGGAGAGATGATTTTCATGAGAGGGACAAGCAAGTGATAGATCGGGAAAAAAGAGCCCCCACGATTGCCAGCTGAACTAAGTCTTATTCCCAATCAATTTGGAGTCAACAATATCAACACATTTTTGCAGTTTCTTTCAGTTCATCGCTAGATCCTCTGGGAGAAGATAAAGGGGTGAAGATAATAAAAAATTAAATGCTCCATCTTAAGCCATAGAAACAAGTTAAGAGAATAAATATTACAATGGAGGGAAAATGTGTATCATATAAGCATCAGATACAAAAACCAAAAGAAACTCCTTTGAACACCTCCGGGGTAAAAAATTAGTAGTCCATGTATAAAGGCAGATATCTCGCCTATAGACCATGTGTTGCAAAACAGGAAAAGAAACGCGAGAGAAAATATTTCTGGAGATAGTCAATCCATTCAACACATCATTCCCTCAACTTATGTTAAGAATTAAGGTACCGAATAGGCTTGGTGATGAAAATAAAGGATAAACTCCTAGTTAACAGAGAGTATCACCATCGAGGAACATAACACCAAAGGATAAAACTCCATTCGTAAGTAGAATACTATTGTTTAATCTCATTGAGTTTATCACTATAGTAGGATAGGCTAGCTAATTCAAAAGTTTGAAAAGGAGGTTAAACAAGGATATGAATCATTTTCTTCTTGGAAGGCTTTATGGGGTACATGGCTTCAAAGAAATTCACCCTTCTTCGTGCACTTAGTAATATACAATGAACCCTTCGAAAAGTGAGAGAGTTTGTATAAAAGAATATTTCTTGAATTCGGCAAAGGCCAAATGTTCTTCCTTCAACTGACCAGAAATTTGAACATCCTCATAATAGAAAACAAGAAATCTCCCAACAAATGGTCGTAAACCATATTTCCCAACTCTCATGGAAGTGCTAGGAGCATTAGGCATCCTAAAATGTAAAACTAACCACTCATACAAGTCATATGCTAATTTTTAAATCATCCACCAAAATTTTGATCTGATGGTATCCACTATGCAGGTATATCTTGCAGAACTGAGTGGGCCCATCCAAGTCATCCAACATATCCTCAAGCCTATAAATGGGAGGTAATTTAGTTGATTGATACACATTCCCCAAGATCCTTCTTTCTTTGAATCAAGTAAAATAAGCACACCAAACAAGGTCACAAGGAGACTTGCTATTACGAACGAGCCCTTCATATAAAAATGCCTTCTATTCCCTATTCAACTTAGCTCTCTTCGCAAGGTTCATCCGATAATGAAGGAAAGAAATCTTGATCTTACAACTATGAATATCACATAGTAAAAACTTAGCTTGTGTGGAAGCTCATCGCTTAATTTCCTTCGTAGTATGAACTAAATTTTTGTCTAATGGTACATCACACAATACCTTTGCCATTCAGAGTTGGATTTCAGCACCCCAGACGGTGCAACAGAAGCTGCATAAGCTGAATCACATTATTTCAGAAGGTTTTAAGGATAGTTCAGGGAACACTATTTACATTTTAACAGGATGTACCATCTATGAGAAAGAGCATATACGTGGTAGTCACACAAGGTGCACAAATCAATGTACCTTCTAAATAATTGGCACATGACAAGACAGCAATACTCCCCTTCCGATCTGAAACAACGGCAGTATTAACATCCATAAGAACACAATCAGCAACTAGCCTCTGGACAGGATCACAATAAACTTGCTCCAGTTTTCTGGCATCCTGGGTAGAAACAATATATGGAAATTTGTACCAGATGAACACGACAAAATAATATATTCCACCCCCATTTAATTTTTTCTAAACCACATAAAAATGACATGTCCAGGTCTTGAAATAAAACCTTTAACTAGAATAAGGAAAAAGTTACAAGTTTAGATAAAAAAAATAATAATAATAATAAATAAATTGGAGGAGGATATAATTTAAAACATAATACAACAACTGATATTTTTACATAATTAAATTACTTTATATTAACTTCTGTGGTTAAATAGAAAAATTTCCGTAGCATAATAACTTATAAATCTATTTTACCTTCTAACATAAACTTCTAAGAAAATCTAAATCAAGTATTACTATTTAAACATGTACAATTGTGCAAAGGCCATATGTAGATCAAGTTTGTTGTGAATATGAATCAACCTAGATACAAATCTAATCATGCATGCAATCTAAGTTATACTTTGACAGCAAACAGATTGTTAATACTTCAAAAGGAGTCCAGAATTGAAGTTTCGAACTATAAATAAAAAAAAAAAAAAAACCCTACTAAAATAGAGGACACATATTGACAAGGTGTTTGATGGGGATAAAAATTAAATTTTTAGTAGATTTTGATAGAAGTTTTTGAAATGTGAGGTTGAAAAAGTCAAAATAAGAATATTATTTCCCATGGTGCATTACTTTTACCAAGTTCTCCAAGGAAAAGTTCCTTTCCTGCTCTTATATTGTTCTTTAATGCATTGCCTAATGTCACGAAGGAGAAAAAGTATATTCATACTAATATCCATGTTACAAGAAAGTGTCTCAAACCAGGTTTTTAGCCATTATAAGATCTTAATTACCTTCTTTATGCGCATGGCAATGTCTCCCATATAATATGAACAACTCAATGTCAAATTTCTCTCCGGACTTGCATTATCTGTAACATCACGTTAAACAATTTACGTCAGTCAATATTACAATTTATCAGAGAAGATATAAAAATGTAACAAAATAGAATGCAATTGGATGAGGAGAGATGATTTTCATGAGAGGGACAAGCAAGTGATAGATCGGGAAAAAAGAGCCCCCACGATTGCCAGCTGAACTAAGTCTTATTCCCAATCAATTTGGAGTCAACAATATCAACACATTTTTGCAGTTTCTTTCAGTTCATCGCTAGATCCTCTGGGAGAAGATAAAGGGGTGAAGATAATAAAAAATTAAATGCTCCATCTTAAGCCATAGAAACAAGTTAAGAGAATAAATATTACAATGGAGGGAAAATGTGTATCATATAAGCATCAGATACAAAAACCAAAAGAAACTCCTTTGAACACCTCCGGGGTAAAAAATTAGTAGTCCATGTATAAAGGCAGATATCTCGCCTATAGACCATGTGTTGCAAAACAGGAAAAGAAACGCGAGAGAAAATATTTCTGGAGATAGTCAATCCATTCAACACATCATTCCCTCAACTTATGTTAAGAATTAAGGTACCGAATAGGCTTGGTGATGAAAATAAAGGATAAACTCCTAGTTAACAGAGAGTATCACCATCGAGGAACATAACACCAAAGGATAAAACTCCATTCGTAAGTAGAATACTATTGTTTAATCTCATTGAGTTTATCACTATAGTAGGATAGGCTAGCTAATTCAAAAGTTTGAAAAGGAGGTTAAACAAGGATATGAATCATTTTCTTCTTGGAAGGCTTTATGGGGTACATGGCTTCAAAGAAATTCACCCTTCTTCGTGCGCTTAGTAATATACAATGAACCCTTCGAAAAGTGAGAGAGTTTGTATAAAAGAATATTTCTTGAATTTGGCAAAGGCCAAATGTTCTTCCTTCAACTGACCAGAAATTTGAACATCCTCATAATAGAAAACAAGAAATCTCCCAACAAATGGTCGTAAACCATATTTCCCAACTCTCATGGAAGTGCTAGGAGCATTAGGCATCCTAAAATGTAAAACTAACCACTCATACAAGTCATATGCTAATTTTTAAATCATCCACCAAAATTTTGATCTGATGGTATCCACTATGCAGGTATATCTTGCAGAACTGAGTGGGCCCATCCAAGTCATCCAACATATCCTCAAGCCTATAAATGGGAGGTAATTTAGTTGATTGATACACATTCCCCAAGATCCTTCTTTCTTTGAATCAAGTAAAATAAGCACACCAAACAAGGTCACAAGGAGACTTGCTATTACGAACGAGCCCTTCATATAAAAATGCCTTCTATTCCCTATTCAACTTAGCTCTCTTCGCAAGGTTCATCCTATAATGAAGGAAAGAAATCTTGATCTTACAACTATGAATATCACATAGTAAAAACTTAGCTTGTGTGGAAGCTCATCGCTTAATTTCCTTCGTAGTATGAACTAAATTTTTGTCTAATGGTACATCACACAATACCTTTGCCATTCAGAGTTGGATTTCAGCACCCCAGACGGTGCAACAGAAGCTGCATAAGCTGAATCACATTATTTCAGAAGGTTTTAAGGATAGTTCAGGGAACACTATTTACATTTTAACAGGATGTACCATCTATGAGAAAGAGCATATACGTGGTAGTCACACAAGGTGCACAAATCAATGTACCTTCTAAATAATTGGCACATGACAAGACAGCAATACTCCCCTTCCGATCTGAAACAACGGCAGTATTAACATCCATAAGAACACAATCAGCAACTAGCCTCTGGACAGGATCACAATAAACTTGCTCCAGTTTTCTGGCATCCTGGGTAGAAACAATATATGGAAATTTGTACCAGATGAACACGACAAAATAATATATTCCACCCCCATTTAATTTTTTCTAAACCACATAAAAATGACATGTCCAGGTCTTGAAATAAAACCTTTAACTAGAATAAGGAAAAAGTTACAAGTTTAGATAAAAAAATAATAATAATAATAATAAATAAATTGGAGGAGGATATAATTTAAAACATAATACAACAACTGATATTTTTACATAATTAAATTACTTTATATTAACTTCTGTGGTTAAATAGAAAAATTTCCGTAGCATAATAACTTATAAATCTATTTTACCTTCTAACATAAACTTCTAAGAAAATCTAAATCAAGTATTACTATTTAAACATGTACAATTGTGCAAAGGCCATATGTAGATCAAAAAAAAAAAAAAAACCCTACTAAAATAGAGGACACATATTGACAAGGTGTTTGATGGGGATAAAAATTAAATTTTTAGTAGATTTTGATAGAAGTTTTTGAAATGTGAGGTTGAAAAGTAGTGGAATCCATGAAAGATGTAGTAGTTAATATTGATTGTTTGACTTTGACTCATATTAAAATCTAAGCCAAACAGGGGCTGAATATATTTGTGATTTATTCATAATAACATTATCTAATCTTGAGCATACTCATGAACACACTGACTATTTATCTAGACTTGAAACAAAATTAATCTACATGAAAATTTCTATAGCTGACTTTATGTCGAATGACAATTGACAAGTTTTGATCAATAAAGAAATTTCAGAATCCGAGTTAGGTTTAGCTGGCTTCTAAGAAAACCGAGTAAATATTGGGGTAAAATTTAAATGCAAGAGAATATTACTTATCTCTAAAATGTGTCATTTAAATTTGTCAACTTCTTGGAATGCAGTTTTGTCGCATAATTGTATATGTTAACTTACGGGGGTTATACAAAAATCCCTTTCTCAATGAAATTTTCTGGATAATTTATTCTCATCCATATAGTATCTGAAAGGCAAGATATATGTCCTAAATAGTAGATTTACCCAGCAAAACTTAGAAGTCGTTTGGTCATTTTACATTGGATCTGCATAGAAACTCGTAATAGAGCAAAACCATTTGAAAATGCACAAAATAACACAAAAGTAAAACCAAACCTCTCTTTATTGGTCTAATTATCCTTTCATTGAGAACCATCTAAATTGTGGGGAAAACAGTAGCTAGTTACCTCATGATATGAATAGAAAAGAACACCATCACGGCAATCACCAACAGCTATCCTGGTGAAATATGCAGTCAAGGTCATGATCATGAAACGTGTTCTTCCAACAGCTAATCTTCTCACGCGATGGGAGTTATCATTTGAAAAACCGCAAACATAAAACTGAAAATAAAAACATCTGTCATCCTTAAGATGCAACTCAACTATCACCTTCAACATGACAGCATTACAAGCACTAAAAAATTTGATGGAAATCTCCAAATTTGATAAATTAGGCTTTTAGTTTCTCTGGTATTCTAATATATTCTCTAGTATTTTGTTAGATGCTTCCTACTTAAAACTTGATAGATTATCTAGTATCATAAATGCTTCCTACCTAATGTTTGATAGATTATCTAGTATTTTGATAGATTCTCTAGCATTATATTATATTTTTCTTGCCTAAATTAGACTAGTTCAAACCCTATATAAAGGTGTTTATGCTTTCTTATAAGACAATAACTTTGATATGGAATCAGTTGATATTTTATTCCTCTAAATTTTCTCCTTGCCCTCCCCATTCTTCTCTCTTCCTCTTTCTTTTCTCAATCTTGTTCTTGACCGATTGTGTTCGTCATGAATTTGGTATCACAGCCAAGCACTCTCCTCTTACCAAAGTGTAGTTGCTGCGTGCATTGTGGGTAAGGAAAAGTGCGTCCAGCAGCCATTCAAACCCATTGACAAGCACACCAATCACCGCCCCCACCATCCCCCAACAGTCCATCACCTTCCCTAGCCAGCAATGTCCAAATCCTTTTCCAAAAAAAAAAAGGACAAGAAAGAAAAAGGACAACAGCAGCAGCCAGATTCTGCTTCATTAATTTCTACAGATTGTTATTAGCTAGTTCTGAAAAAAGGAAAAAAAAAAAAAAAAAAAATCATATTGCTTCGTTAACAACTGCTGATCTGCCAACCAATTTTATGGTGTCATCAAAGACCTCAACAACAGGCCCCATTTGGCCCAAATTGACAGCCTGTCAAGCCACATACCCTACCCATTATTCCAATAAAAGTTTAAAACCAAGCCCACTAGCCAAAAACTCCATATATGCAGCCCATTAACAATATACCCACTGAGCTATTAACCCTTAACCCACAAAATCTGACCCCCCTAAACCCATTAGCCCAATCTTGACTCAAAGAATACTCTCCACCTCCCCGGACCCTACAACCACCTTGCCACTGGCTATCACTTCTATTGATGGCGCCCACAAACCCACTCCCCTCCACGACCTATATACTAACACTCTTCAATCCCAGCCCAACATTGCCTTGCAACACAACTTCCATTGTACGCCACCGCCAAAAACCATTGTCCAACACTGTTGTTGAGATCCCCACTTTGAGCCACCACTTAAGTCGCAACTCACTTGCGACCATCACCACTAGATGCCACAGCCACTCTGCCTGTAATTTCTTTTCTAATTCACTACCTCCTCCAACCTCATTTGCTCATCGTTGGCCTTCACTTCATTCCATTTGCTACGTTCTTCGCTGCATTCATCTGCCACTGCATCCATCGCTACATGTTTGAACAATGATTTCAACATTTGGCTGTATATAAGGCATATCAATTTTGTTATGTTGAATTCTTCACTTTCTTTTAGAGTTTATGGCTTACCAAAAACAATTAAAAAGTAGCACACACATTATTATGTTTTATCTTTTCTATTATGTTTATCTATTTAGTTTCTTATATAATTGTGATACGATTATCTTCTATTTGATTAGAATAATAGTTTCAATTAATTTCAATTTTTTAATAGTATTAGAGGTAGGAAATAATCTTACTTATAAATACTGGGGATTGTACAATTTTCATATCATCAATCATTATTCAATCACTACCAAGCAAGTTATTCCAATATATTTCTTATTTCAACTCTTATTACAAAAATTTCAAAACGCTTACGCACCAAAATTAGTATCAGAGCAAGAAAATTGCATTAATTCGATGCCCGATGAAGGTACCGGTGGTAGTCAAACCATTGACGACGAACCGAGGATCGACAAACTCGAACAACAAATCCAGAGGAACGACGAAGCTCTTCCCCATCTCACGCAGATGATGACTACATTAATTGTGAAGGGCAAACGCGAGCTTATGGAGAAACAACCAAACTGAAAAGAAACCCGATAAAAGGGAGATGACTCAGATTTCAATGAGGAAGGAGAAGATGCTAACTTGGAAGAAAGAAGTCCAAGGGTAGCAACATGTATGGGACCACAGCCTAAACCCCAACCACACATCAACCTAAACCTGGAGAAACAATGTTGACCCTTTGCAAATGACCAACTCCGACAACAAAACCCTTGCCCTCATGGCGCGCCAACACAATCGCTAATCGCAATTTTTGCGAGGCATCCCCACTGCAGGTGTATGAACGGAGATGTAGAGGTCATGGTGGCTGGCGTGATGACAATAAACCCTTGGCAGCGATGGTGATTCCACGATTTGGTTTAAGGAGGGAATGTGATTTTGACCAAGATTTTAATAATTTTAACCAAGAGTATAATTTTGACCAAGCAGGTAATTTTGAGTGAGTTTAATTTTGATCAATGGTTTAATTTTGATCGTAGACCGAGGGATGTTAACTTTCATGGGGTCCTAATTTTCAACCAAGTGATAGAAACTTCCAACAAAGACGGCCACGAAAATTCTACTATTCATCCGAAGAAGAAAATTTTTGACCCAGGGCTAACAATCGGGGTCCAAATGATCAAAAATTTAAGATGAAGATGGACTTGTCAAGTTTTGACGGTCGATTAAACATTGAAAATTTTTTGGACTGGATCCATAGTGTCCAAAATTTCTTCGACTATTTAAATATCTAAGTACAAAACCAAGTTAAACTTGTGGCATACAAATTAAAGGTGGAGCTTCTACATGGTGGGAACAATTTCAATTTAATTGTCAAAGACGAGAAAAGGAACATGTACAAACCTGGCCCAAAATAAAATGATTACTGCAAAGGCGATTTCTCCTTCCAAATTATGAGCAATTTTTGTACCAGCAATACCAAAATTGTCGACAAAACATCCGAACTATCAATGCATACACGGAGGAATTCTATCGATTAAATGCCCAAATTAATGTCTAAACAGAAGCTCAATTAATTGCTTAATATATAGGAGGCCTAAAGTTAGTCATTCAAGATCGATTAGTTCTTCACGAGATTTGGACCATGAGAGATGCAGTCAATCTAGCAATGAAAGCGAAAAATCAGATGAACAGAACCATAGTTTGTATTCAAGGTAATTTTCGACGACTAACGCAAGAAACTTATTCTACTCCAAAAAGTGCAACAACCTCAGACAACAACAATAACAGTGAGGATGCAACTCCAATTCAAAATTCAGCACAGAATCAAAGTGGAACTTTAGCTCTTGTCGAACTAACACCCAAGGTAGAAACGAGATACAACAAGCAGCCAATAAGACCCTTATGCGCGTTCTAATCTTGGGATGTGCCTCAGTGCAATCAACCGGTCATCTTTCAAATAACTACCCAAACAAGAAATCCGTTAACCTTGTAGAAGAAGGCGAAAGTGATGAAGAACAAAATCTTGATGACAATGATTATGAGAGTGGTAATGTTTCAAATGCAAATACATGGGAAGAATTAGCGTGCATTATCCAATGCCTTTTGCTTGACCCCAAAAGCCCAATCACTCTCAAAGACGCATCTTCGAGACTCGATGCACAGTTCATAATAAGGTATGCAACGTGATCATTGATAGTTGTAGTGAGAACGTCGTTTCCAAAGCAGTGGTAAACGCCCTAAATCTGTAGATCGAGAGACAACCTTTTCCATACAATATTACATGGATTAAGATGGGCCCACAAATTCAAGTTCTAGAAATTTGTAAAGTTCCTTTGTCAATTGGGAAATATTACAAAGATGAGATCATATGCGACGTGGTGGATAAGGATGCTTGTCATGTTTTATTGGGTCGTCCATGGCACTATGACGTCGATGACACTTATCGGGGACGGGATAATACTTTCATATTCCGGTTATTTGACAAGAAGATTTTGGTACCACAATCTCAACCTATGGAAAACAGCTTTGCTATCAAGGAAGAGAAATCAATTTTTACCAACATATCGGGTCCAAAATTCTTTGAACAAGTAAAAGAGCAATGCATTATATTAGCATTAGTAGTTAAAGGCCAATCAAAAGCAACTATGCAAATTCCCACCAAAGTTTAGAAAGTTCTTACTGATTTTGCTGAGATAGCACGTAACAAGTTGCCCCCTATGCGAAACATTCAACATCATATTGATTTGGCACCTGGAGCTAGTTTGCCTAACTTACCACATTATAACATGAGCCCAGTTGAACATGAAGAGTTGCAGGGACTAGTCAATGAGTTACTTGATAAAGGGTTGATCCGTGAGAATAAGCCCTAGTGCAGTTCCTACTCTACTCTATAAAGAAGGATGGTAGTTGGCGAATGTGTATACAATCGTGCTATTAATAAAAATAACAGTCAAGTCTTGTTTTCTATCTTCGCGTCTTAATGATATGCTCGACAAGTTATAGAGGGTGCAATGATACTTATCAAACTTGATTTGAGGAGCGGCTATCATCATATCTGTATTCGAACAGGTGATGAGTGGAAAACAGATTTCAAAACCAAAGATGGTCTCTACGAGTGGTTAGAGATGTCATTTGGGCTATCAAATGTACTAAGCACATTCATGCAATTAATGAACCAAGTTCTTCGTCCATTTGTGGGAAAATTTGTGATGGTCTATTTCAATGATGTTCTTATCTATAACAAGAATGAAGATGAGCAATTATCACATCTTACAGAAGTTTTCTCAGCCCTGCGACATTACACATTGTATATCAATTTCAAAAAGTTCAGCTTTATGACCGACCAACTTTTATTTCTTGGTTTTATGGTAGGAAAAGATGGTATTCAGGTTGATGAGGGGAAAGTGAATGCAATAAGCGAATGACCAGCTCCTAAAACCGTGCAAGAAGTACAAAGCTTTCATGGATTAACAACTTTTTACAGATGTTTCATTCAAGGATTTAGTACAATTATGGCACCTATTACCGATTGCCCCAAAAGGCCAATTTTAGTAAGGCAAAGCACAGGAAAATAGTTTTAAGACAATAAAAAATAAGTTATGCACGACACCGGTATTGACACTACCTAGCTTCGAGAAAGTATTTGAAGTCAAGTGGGATGCTTCAGTTATGGGAATTGGAGCAGTATTATCTCAAGAAGGTTGCCTAGTCGAGTTTTTCAGTTAAAAGGCTAGTGAATCTCGACAAAAGCGTACTACTTATGAGTTGGAATTTTATGCCGTGATTCGAGCTTTAAAACATTCGGAACACTACTTGATTCAATGAGAATTTGTGTTATTTATGGATCATAAAGCCTTGAAATTTGTTAATTCTAAAAAAAATAAATCAATTGCACGCTCGAAGAATCACCTTTTTGCAAAAAATCACTTTTGTTATAGAACATAAGTTTGGCCAACAAAACAAAGTAGCAGACGAGTTAAGTCGATGTGCATCTCTTTTAGCTACAATCAGCACTAAAGTAGTTGGGTTTGATTGTTTGAAAGAACTTTATACAGCTGATAAGGATTTTGGCGATATACGAACTTGATGTAATTATAGGGAATTTATACCTTATTACCTTTTTCAGGAAGGATTCTTATTTAAAGGAACTCAGTTCTGCATTCCTCGTTCTTCTTTGTGTGAGCATTTGATTTGAGAATTACATGCAGGCGGATTAGAAGGACATGTTGAGCGAGATAAGACAATCAACTTGGTTGAAGAGAAATTTTATTAGCCCTAGGTCAAAAGAGACATTGGTCGTCTTTCTCAGCGTTGACAATGTCAGAAAGCGAAGGGACAAGCTCAAAATACTGGCCTTTATACCCCTGTCTGTTCCAAAAACAATACAGCAAGATCTCACCATGAATTTTGTTCTTGGCCTTCCATGAACTCAACGGGGAGTTGATTTTGGTCGTAATTGATCGATTTTCGAAGATGGCTCACTTCCTTGTAAGAAAACTGCAGATCCTTCTTACGCACCTAATATATTTTTCCGCGAGATTTTTCAACTACACAGCATTCCTCATTCTATAACTTCTAATAGAGATTTAAAGTTTCTAAGTCATTTTTGGAAAACATTGGAGAATGTTTTGACACTTCTTTAAAGTTTATTAGCACGAGTAATCCCCAAACATATAGTCAAACTAAAGTGGCTAATTGAACTCTTGGCAATATGATTCGAGTAGTTAGTGGAGATAAACCAAAACAGTGGGATGTTGTCCTTCCACAAATTATGTTTGCTTTTGATAGTGCCTAATCGATCCACCAAGAAGACTCCATTTGAAATCGTTTACGATAATATTGCACGACATACAGTACATTTGTTTTGACTTCCTAATGTCAATTCTAATACAAGAGAGTTTGTTGAACGTATTCAAAGAATTCATCACGAGGTAAAACAAAATTTAGAAGATGCTAGTATTCATTATAAGACTATTGCAAACCAACATCGAAGCCTTAAGCTGTTCAACGAAGGTGATTTAGTAATGATTCATCTCAGAAAAAATTGTTTTCCAGTTGGCACTTACAATAAGCTTAAAGATAAGAAGATTTGTCCTTTTCGCATTCTTAAAAAGTATTTCCAATACTTTTAATGTTGCTGATATCTTCGAGTATTTTCCTCCGAATGAATTTTCCTTACAGATGCAAAACTCAAGGACTAGTTTTTTTCAAATGGAAGGGATTGATGTAGTACATCACAACTACAATTAATAGTTTCCTATTACAATTATGTTTTATCTTTTCTATTATGTTTATCCATTTAGTTTTCTTGATAATTGTGATAGGACTTTATTTTATTAAAATTATAGTTTCAATTTCCTAATACTGTTAGAAGTAAGGAATAATCTTGACTATATATATAGGAGGATTTTTCATTTCAGCAATCGTTATTCAATCAATACAAAGCAAGTTATTCCAATATATTTCTTATTTCAATTCTTATTATAAGAATTTCATAATGCTTCTGCGCCAATTCCACATATCTTCGCCTTCATGTCGAACTTGTTATTGCCTAGTCCTATGAACGAATTTACCAAGGACTTCATTCTAACATTACCTCAACTACGTGATATTCCCCAGGTAGCTAAATTTATTTTCAAGGCCACTGTTTGATTGCATATTTTCTTATCGACAATCAATTATTGCCTACTAATTACCATTATATTATTTTGGCTCGACTCTATTGCTTCTTTTCCAAATTTTCATGTTAAGATAAAATGCAAAATTTACTTAAATAATAAAATTATGAGCTTTCTTTCGATGCCCAATTTAGACACAAATGCATTCAAGTTGATTTTTATGCCTTATTATGTGTTTCTTTGATACGATTTTCAAAACATGTAAAGAAAAAAATTCATCATTAGAAAAATAATCTATTTGGCTGGCCATCACACTTAAATGAAGGTTTTATTTTCACTATATCACATTTGTTTCCTTGCGGGGACACATTCGAGCCACCGGCATTTCACTCATTTATTTCTACACACCAATCAATCGTGCTAGTACATCATGCTCCTCGTGTGAATTTTGTGATAATTTTTGTGGATGAGTTGCATAATTTGTTGGCTTTTAGTTCATAATCACTAATAAATTACAAGGAAAGATTGTATCATATTCTTGGGGATGTATAGATTCGATTGTCATCATATGGTCGATTTCGTTATTTGATCCAAAAGAAAAATCACTAGCTAAAAAGTAGCAATCTATCTTGTGGGAGTCCAATCTTTCCAAATTGAATGCATAATTGGAGTTTTACACTCTCTAGTCTTTTATATTTTGTTAGATTCTCAGTGTTTTGTTAGATGTTATTTACCTAAATTTAATAGATTATCTAATATGTTTTTAGATGTTTCTTACCTAAATTAGACTAGTTTAAACTGTATATATATAAGGGACTTATGCTTTGTAATAAGACACAATTTGAGATAAAATAAATTGATATCTCTCTCTAAATTATCTCCTCTCCCTATTCTCTTTCTTCTCTCTTCCTCGTTCTTTTCTCAATCTTTTCCTTGTTTGATTGTGTTCCTCATCAGAATTTCATGACTTACAGAGTTACCAGCAGAGGCCAGGAAATAACGACCAAGGTAAGGACAGAGAGCAAGAACCATCCCTGGCCAGATGGTTGAATAAGCCAATCGCAAGTGCCATGATTCAGTTTCTTCAAGCTTGATCCCATCAGAGCTATTATCATCTGGGCTGCTGCAGACACTACTGCTAGAGAGTTGTTCGGCTGCATAACCACCAACGTCACAAAAAGGTGAACTCCATTGTGAAGATGAACCAGCCTTTGAATACAGCATGATGGCACTGCTCTCTGAATTTCGCATATGTTCAAGGCAAAGAACCAGCAAACGGCCTTTCGTGCTGTTTAAGATATACAGGAACACTTGTGAAGACATAAACACAATGAAGTAGACTCCAACAAGAATATTAGGGACCAATAACTATATTATTAAGATTTAGATCAACAGATGCATGGAAGAACTTAAGTTTTAACAAAACAGTGCAGCATGAACAAAATAAGGTTGTAACAAACATATTTAACCTCTCAGCTTCTCCACTGGGCATTATAGCTGGACCAGCTGATTGGCTAGTTCCAATCACCAAAACACATTCATCTCCAACCTTTACTAACTCCATGCATTTTCCAATCTCTCCAGGTTCAAATTTGAAAGATGACAACACTGACCCACTCAAAGGATCTATACAACAAACATCGGATGAACATTCATTGTCTAATTCAGTCCTCATGACAATCAACAACCTGCTTTCACTATGATATAAAACTTTCCTTGGAGTGCCACCAAGAGGAAACTTTTGCACATTGAGCCTCTTACTTGGCACCATTTCCACCTGAGACAATTAATCAGCGTCATGATGTGAAGTGTTAATGACATGAAATTCGTTAACGAAAGGCATTCAAAATAAGACAAGATACAAAACCACCCATCAAGACTCACAAACATAAACAAGAATGCAACTTTTTTTCAATAAAAAAAATTAAAATATGCCCAGTGGTATTAGTATAAATGCTCCAATTGCAAAACTTTTTTAGAGCAGTAGGTATGGGTTCTACAAAAAGATAATTCCAAATATTTAAGTTTTAACTTCGGCTTGATTTAAGAGATTCTTGTATAGTCTAGCATAACATGAAACACTTCAAACTCTACCCGAGCAGTAACAATCTCAACCAATGCACACATGCTTAGTGAGGCTAGCAAAGCTGGGCACAGACAGTAAAAAGGTCTTGATTTAGGACGAGTCAGCTGAATGTGCTGCAATTTTGTAAATGAAGCAATTTTGTGCTTCCATTTTACCTTCAAAGTGGTGTAATTCATTTAAGTGTAAAATATGCGCCTGTTTGCAGGTCTCCTGACTATGGTAGTGAGGTAAGTCAAATCAAGGCAACAAGGAACTACTTGCATTCATCAAAATAGCCTATCTTATCGCAAGAGATATGTGTGTGATTTTCTATAGTATAACAGAAAAATTCAGGTCTTGAGTCAGTTGAAATGTACATGCTACTCAATCTTGTCATCTATTGATTTGCCATGAAATTCTACCAGCTCATTTCATTTTTGTAAATTAACATGAGAAAACCAGAATACACCTCAAAATATGAAGAGGATAAAGAATTGGTTCAAACCTGATATATGAATGCTATTTCCTTAAGTTTAGGATCATATGGAAAAAGATTCCCAATAAAAACTATGGTTAAATTAACATGAACAGAGAGCGAACAGTAATTTCAGCCCTTTGAAAGTGGTTCCACGAGTATTAATGATTTCAAAGCTGTTCTGGAAATAGACTACCATAGCAATGATTCCAAGAATTTATTCATTTTGACCAGGGAGTGACATATAAAAGAAGTATGCGACATAAGATTAGCTGACAAAGGGTTGAGCTATACCTAGTAGGCTTATCACCTCACAACCAAGGAAAGGCTTTTAAAGGAATGGGGGTGGTAGTTTTAATGCTGAGCTCTACTTCGATTTATATAGGCTCTAGTAGCTCATGATCAGCCTAACTGACCCATCTTTCTCCAGGAAGAAACCGCTTGCTTGGTGTCATGATCAAAGGAGAATTAGAACCAAAAAATTTGTCAAGAGCAGAAGAGCTCTTCTAATGTTTCTGTCTCTGGCGAGTCTCTGTAGGATACTTGGCCAAAGCATGAGACAACCAAAGTATTCACAGTAAGATCAGCTGGATGTGCAATAGTCTTTCATGAAAAGATATTTTTTTATGCAACCTACAAGTCATTTATGTGACACTATTATCCTTTCTTGTTATAAAACAGCTTTAATCTACTCTATCCAAAGTATGCACAGTAAGATCAGCTGGATATGCATTAGTCTTTCATGAAAAGATATTTTTATATGCAACCTACAAGTCATTCGTGTGACACTATTATCATTTCTTGTTATAAAACAGCTTTAATCTCCTCTATCCAAAGTATTCACAGTAAGATCAGCTGGAGGTTATAAAACAGCCTTAATCTACTCTATCCTTGCATATTTTGCAACAGAAACTAAAGAAGTTTTAGCGCACTTAATTTTTCCAAATCCTAGAGCTTATATCGACCAATTGCCCCAGATATGTAGTGATTTTTAAGCTACTTACTGATTAGTTTGTGGTTCGTCTTGAAACAAATCTTGCTGCCATAGAGGAACTCATTTAGGGTCCATTCGGTAGTGATTATGAGAATTAATTTTTTGACCATTAGGGAGAAAAGTGGGGGCCACCTGTGAGAGAAAAAATCAAAAATGACGGCTGGAATAGTGAAATAATTGTCAAAAAATCAATTTTTTGAAAGTGAAAAAGCACTACTAAGCCGGGGATTAATCAATTTTCTGGTCAAGATTTACTTCTACTCCATTAATTATCTACTCATACTGGAACCATTTATGTTGTTGATCTAAATAAAGAATGTCATCAAAGGAGCAAAGCACAAATAACAAGCATAAGTGGAAAAGTCAAATTGAAAATTGGAGGTATCATACTGCTCAATAACCCTTTAGAGAAAATTGTCTACCCTCCACTCTTTCCCCTTCCCCAGTAGGGCTAGCTTGCTCTGTAGTAGTTCTAGAGGGTAAACAAAAATTTTCACAATTGACGAGTCTCGAATGGAGTTCTTCATTCACTTTAAATTATATTTTTGGCAGACTCAATTGACACCTAGAATTTTAATACCGTTAATACTTTGGTAGAAGGAAGTAGATGTTTTATATTTCAGTTCTTGCATCTATCATTATTTTCTCTCCGTGTTCTGTGTGTGTTGATATTTATAATCCTCTCAATATTCAGTCAGAGATGAGATACTCTGGGAGACATGGTGCACTCTAGCTGGGAAAATATGACAGCCAAATATTGTTGTAGAAGGTGGGGCAAAAAAAAAGTAGAGGCAAAAGTATACAGTAGCACTAGATGGATAAGAAAAATTGTTATTACCAAATGAAGACTGTTCTCTGCAACAAATAGAACTCCTCTGGGGCATTCAATTGAGGACACAGGAGTGAGATGAGTGGAAGGTTGAAAGGAAATTGATGTATAGGATAGACTGTGCCTAGCAGTCTGCAATAACCAAGGTCTATCACTGAGAGCAATCATATCAGCATCAAGGGAATCACTCAATGGAACCAAGAAAACAGGTGTGATACCGATACGGCGCACTGCAATAAGCTCAAGACTAACTGGAAAGTCTCCCTTAGCCATCCCAGATGAATTGGATGTAAAAATTAGTGGGATTCCGTAGTTTGGAGACATGGGTTTCAACGAGGCATGGGAATTTACCAAGCACGAATCAACAAAATTTTGATGACTGGGTAACTTTGTAGAGGAAACTGCAGATTCAACAGGCCACTCGAACCTAAGTAGCATCCCGTTCCTTAATCCAGAAAGAACATACAGCCGATCAACTAAGACAAGCCTCACGTCTTGAGGAATACAGCCACTAATAGCAGTTCCCACAGTGTTGGTTAATGAAATGATTCCCGTAGCAAGAACTTTCAGGCCCTTATCAGGTACAAAGGATATGACTTCTACTGAAGGCTTATGGGTACCAATAACGAATATATTATCGATGTTAATTTCAGTTGGTACGGCCACAGGCTTGTTATCTGCATAATTCATCAGAGAGTGCTTCGGGCACTTTTGAGGTATGGAAATACAAGACAACTCATTTTGCAATCTTATGCACTGCATCTGATATATTTCATAATGATAAGCTGATAAAGATCTAACACCAAGAACAAATAATAAGTACGGACTGGAAGTGGCTACAACAATCAAATTGCATCCAACCGCTCCAAGACTTAGAGTCATATTATCAGGGAACCATGACGTGCATACTGGAGATGACAAAGGAACACCTTCTGGATGCACAGCTCTAACAGGCACGCAGAGTCTAATTCCACATTGGTGAATCTGGATCATCACACCATCAGCCACGAGACCGCATGCCAAAGTACAGACATCGGGCTGAAAACCAACTGAATCAGTCACATCAGTGAAGCTTAGACCAACGGAAAGTACTCTCGTCTCTTCAACAAATGATAGCACAAGAAAAGAATGATAAGGATCAGAAACTTTCATTTTAACTGTCCAAGTACCAGTTACACAATGATAAATAGGACTAGTTTTCAATAACTTCTCCACACTGATACCATTTCGAATGACTCGTAACGTCCCCTCGGGTGCCATCCCAGAGCAAGCAAATATTTGATCATGGTTTTCATCAGGGTGATCAACAACTGAAATATCCAAGATTGGTGCAACGCTTTGAATTGGACCTCTGTACTGTAGTAATCCATCCTCCAATTTTAAGACCATTCCATCAGCCATGTCAACAACTGCTGCCAAAAACCCACCCTCAACCCATAACAGGGCTTTAGATGGTGGGCCTTTGTAAAGACAATCAGATAGGTTTACTCTAAGGTCATCAGACTCCAAAAAAACTTGAATCATGTAGAGTTCTCCAGTATCTGCACTAAAAATCATCCTAGGGTTAGTTAAGTTACCAGGCTCCCAACTCCACGAGCAGACATAATTGGAACCTGGTTTTGTGCTATAATCATCAATGTTCATGGGATCATCATTTTTATTCATGTCACTAAGCTCCAACAAGGCTGAGGCAGCAACACTATAGATTCCTTCTTCATCCATAATATCAGGTATTCCAATAGTGTCCTCTACAAAACTCAGTTCCTCCGCTAAAGGAGGTGTAAAATTCAAGCTTGTTTTATAAACACAACAAGGGTTACGAACATCCCTAAAATCCATTAAGAGAGCATCGCCAGCCCTGAACAGGAAGGCACATCCATGAGAATTAGGGACTTCAACTATATGATGAGCTAGGGGTCCAGCTTCAGCAAACTGATATATTACATGGACGGCTTGTTTGACAATATTCCATTCCAATAACAAAAGCTCATTCCGGTAAAAAGATCCCCTCCTGCAGAACAAGAACTTTGCCTCTGAGGATATCAAATGAACTTGTAAAGGAGATCAATATTATGTCGAACACAACCAAAAAACAAGAAGAGAACCAGATTATATCATGGACAATATGAAAATGTTTTTACATTCTCAACACAGATAGTTATCACACCTATTCAAAAGAATGGCTAACACAGGGTTGTGCTCTTCACTTAATTGATGGCAATCTTTTGAGATGAAGCACATGCTCCATATGGTACCAGAAATATTAGTAAAACCACTAGCAGTTGTCAAGCTGCCTTCATTTTCAGGAGGACAAAAGATCCTCTGTAATCAGCACATGTGAAGGACTTATCAGAAAGTTCATTATCATATTCAATCAACAATGTTGAGCTTTCAAAGGATTGGAAAAATAAAAAATCTCCAGAAGCATAGGTCATGAACAAATTTAACCTTATCAATGATATCGCCACTGGCAGACATTGAGATCGAGAAAATAGCCAACCTGTCTTCATATGCACTAGCAGCAACATAACAGCCACTGTAGAGAGCAAAGCAATAAAGAACCTACATGAATAACAATTCTACGAGCTCTGATATATTGAGATTTTAGAAAGAAAGCAACTTACCTGGAATCAACAGCTAACATCCTTCCAAGTTGATATCTTGAGTTTCCAGGAGAGGAAAGTTGAAAGTGTGTCAATGGGAAAAACCTAGAGAAACAAAGTAAGCCACTGCTCACTCAAGTATCCAGGCTGAAATAAACTCGAACCAGCAAGAAAAATAAATCAAAAAACATATCTCTTTGAAGGCAAAGAAAAAGAAAGTGATACTTATTACTAAAGAAAACCTGTGCATTTCGTTGCAAAAGGAGAGAAATGATAGCTTCCCTGAATCAGAAAGGACTACCAATATATCCTTCCCCAGCAACTACAAAATAATAAGAGGAGATAATCCCTGATCATGTACAGTTCCCAAGTATGAATTTAGCAAAAACAGGTAACACAAATAAACCTTTGGACTTTGTGCTTGAAACCTCTTGTTCCACGGGAGAACAGCAAGATCTTTTATAATGCCAAACACAGGTTGCTCAGAAATAGATTGAACAATCCCATCATTGTCAATTATCACCATCTCTATGGATGTCTCCTGAAACAAGGTTTCTTCTAGCCTCAGATATCTATCTTGCATGGCAATGAAATAGAAAATGCGCTCATGTCCACAAGCAAAAAGTTGCATTCATGTATGTTAGACATAATTATATATAATCTTCCCACTCGCCACATGTCCAATTAGTAACAGACTACCGTTAATGAAGCTTCCCCTTTCAACGTTCTTAACCTACACTATTTTCTTCAATCCAGGAAACACAGATTAAACTCACGCTAGTTCATCAATTTTTTCATCTCTTACATCCACATAAAATAAATAATACCACATGCGGATGGCTATCGACATACTTGTACACTTGAATCGTCTGCAGCAGTTAGCAGCACAGTTCACAGGAATTAAGTTTCTAATATCTTAAACTGTCCAGGATCGAAATAGCGATTTTTTTTAACGTGATGCGTGAACTGGGCAACCAATTACAACGAAAATGGGAGAATGAACATAGAGAAGACCTTTCCGAAAATGACATCGGAGGACGAAGAGGAGCGGAAGTGGCCGCGGACGACTTGAAGAACGACGCTGCTCGTGAGGACTGTTTTGGCCAAATAACAAGCAGCGGAGTTACTGTTTGAGGATGATTGTGATTTGTTATTACCGTGATTAACCACCCCTGGTTTCGATGATGATGAAGATTCTTCCTCCAAAACTGCCATTGTCCCCTCTTTGGTGCTCTGATTAGCCGTGGATAGAGGGACTAGGATTTTATTGTAAGTTCGGTGGACAATAGATTTGCTGTTTGGACGATGCTTCACTTACGCATTTCAGAGGGCTCGGCCAGGGCGCACAAGGGCGGGTCCGCAAATTTTTTTATTTTAATACAAGTAAGTCCCATCAACCTATCAGCTACAATGAAGAGCCTATAAACCCCTTGTAGAACAGTACCCTATACACAATGCATAGTTCTTACTGTTTGGGTGTTCTGGTGTAGATCCCGGATTTTGGGCTCCAAGGCCGAGGTGGCCCTTGATTTGGAAGGACTATTCTTGGGTGCCAGGGGCCTGGTCAAAGGGTTTTACCCAATTTGGTCACGCAGGATTCGTGATTTTTACATGGGGGTAGAGATGGTTCCAAACTCAAGATTTTATCCCGAGTTGAGCAGCATTATTCTACTCTTTTATCCTTATATAAATTGTAATAAAATGGAATTGAAGAAGAAGAATTTAGGATTTTCTTTTCATTTCGATTTACACATGAAAAACCCTCCCCACCTCTTCCTCTTCAAATTGGAAACTCTCTTCCCCTTTTAATTCAGCACCTTCAACATTTAACACTTCACCTTCAAGTCTAAAACAATCTCTTCTCATTTTCCTTCAAAATGCATTGAGTTATTGTGTGTTTTTGTCTTAAATTTAAAATCTCTTATTCCATTTGGGAATTTTAAATCTTATTATTCTATTTAGCCCCCCGTTTGGCCTCCATTCTTTTCAAATATTAATAGTTGGAATAGTATTTTTTTGAAAAATGTGTGGTTGAAAAAAATGAAATTTTTTTTATTTGCGTATAATATTATTTTATGAAAGATTGTGTAGTTGAAAATAAGAGAGAGAGAAAAAATGAGAATGGGAATGGGAGCCAAACAAGGGCTTAGATAGATTTACAGAAGTTTTAGTTGGTATTTGGCTATTTCCAATAGTGGTTTGTAGCTCTTGGGTGGTTCGACCAATTCCAGTTTTGCATTTCAGGTTAGATTTGGTCGACATCTGTGACATCTGTTTAGGTGTTCAACTATTTCTATGGATTATAAGGAGTTAGCTTCAGCTGAATAGGTTTGGCATTTCCCTAATAAATTAAGATTGCTTGTATATAATAATTTGAGGCCTAAGATTTGGTTAGGTTTTATGTTGGAATTGAGTAGCTTTTGTCTTCCCTAAAGTGTACGGTTTTGAAGTTTTTCTATAGTATAGTGTTTTTTTTTTTTTTTTTAGTTTAGCTGTGTATGTGACTTAAGGACTTTTTTCGTTATGATATTTTATTGCTTCTTCTCACCCATTTGAAGACAACTTAATTTGCATTGTTTATTTTTTTCTGTCTTTTTAGCTGTGTCCACAGATCAAAAAAAAATTGTGTTATGGGGGAACCTCCCCATAACTGTGATTTGTTGATGGTGGGTTAGAAAATGAAACTGCTAACTAATATATTAATCTAAAAAGTTTCTTCTTTTAGGAAAGATTGAATCATTTCCAAAAAGTTCACCAAATGTTAAAAAAGAAAAAATGACTTCTTATGTTAGGTTTAAATAATTTAAAAAATGAAAAATGCTTAATTTATGAGCAAATTACCATACGAAGGTGAAGGCATTTAATTATGAAGCCACCGCGTGAACAATTTATAATACATTGTACTTACAAGTTCTCGAAAGCACATCAAGGTAAGAATGACTAATAAGTGAATATCAAATAAAATATACTTTCTTGATAGAAATAATAATACCTGCTATTGAATTTCATATTCTGCAGCATTTCTTCTATTAAAGAAAAAACTAGAAGAACTAGGTAACTTGTTTTAATATTTCTTGTTTTTATATTTGTTATTATGTGCTTTAATACCATCAGTTGTTCTAATATTTGTACATATTTTATAATTTGCAGTGCTATGGAGAATATTCTTCAAGTTAACACTACAATTACAATGAGATGCCGCAAATAGTGCGAGATGTTTATCAGAAGCTCAATACAAATTACAAAAACAAGTTTAGAGAGAGTTGCTTCAGATCTCTCCCTAGGTTGAAGGATATAAGGTTGGCTTCACAAGTTGAACAAGAAAATGAAGAGTGACAAGTATGAGTTGGGATTGACACAATATTGGCGTACATCTTGCGGGCTATGGAGGAGAATACCTACATCAATTTATGGTGGTTGAGCTTGGTGGATGATCTCGACAGGTTTGAGATGTATCAATGGGGAAATTTCTCATTTGAATACACGATCAATATGTTCCAACGTGAAATGGGAGGTAAATTGAAAAGTTTGGATGTCGGAGGAGAGTCACGCTGTTGGTATTCGTTGCATGGCTTTCCCCTCGCTATAATAATATGAACAAACAATAAACTTGACCTGTATTATTTTTTATATGTCAATTTGTGTCTTGAGATAATAATATTTGTTCTTGTAATAGATTCACGCATTTGAAGCAATTTCAACTTTGGGAATAAAGTTCGCTATGAAATATGTAAATGTAATTCCAAGAATGGTCACTTGGGGAAATGTCGAAGAGGTTAGCGTTTGTCGCCATTGATAACGTGTTGAATTCGAAGGAGGTGATGAGAACAAATTATGGAATTAGCATAGTAAATGACTATGATTTGCACGATTTGATATTTGCAGTTAAAGGTTAATTCTACATTGATTCTCACCGAAGCTGACCTCGAGGAAGCTTATTGGAAAGAGTAGAAACCTAACGTGGAAAAAGATTAAAGTGCTTCACACCATTTCAAAAGAGATGTGGCTGAACATGATGTCGAGTCACATCATGCATTCCACCAACACTCTTCTACAGCATCTCAACCACCACGGGTATCTCATGAGATCAATATAGTAGAATTTATTGAGAACGAAAATGGAAAAACTTGAGGGAAAGCTACAAGCAGTCATATCAACTCGAATTGATTGGGTGGAGAAAAAGGTTGACATGTTGGTAGAATGGGGTGTGGTGGGTCGATTCCATTTAGCAACTAGTATATTTGACGGTGTCACTAGTAGCACAACTTATGTACTAAAACATGAGCCGAAGGGTAGGTTGGAAAATGAGGCTGGATTTGATGATGTGACGGATTTGCCTACAAATAAAAGAAGGGTATAAAAGCCTTAGGAAAACTCAAAGTTAGAAGAGGATGTCAGAGGAAATAATGGAGGGGGGAAGAAAACTCCAACTGGATCTGTGAATGATATGGAGGAGCAAAAAAAAGAAAAAATGGTCGAAGAGGGTGTTGAAAAAGAAACAATAGTTGAGGAGAAGCGTCATGACATGGAAAAAGGCATCGCTAATTTGGTGTTGCTTGAGAAACATTAAGTGGATGCAAAGAAATCCAATTAAGGTATGTAAAAAATAATTTGAAGTTTAATTTTATGTTATTACATCCAAATGAAACAAAATGTAGATTTCTAATTGTTGGTACTTGCAACATATAGGTAATAGTGTACAAATCGAGGAGATAGGATGTAATTCACCGAAAGGACGAAGGTATCGTCCAAAGAGAAAAACAAGCTTATTGTGTTCTTCCTGCACGGACCCGACAAAGAGGAAAAAGTTGTCGGATATCAATGTATATGATCCTTATCGAAAGGTGGATCCCTTGATAGTTAAGACTCTTTACAAATAGATGGAAACTACATCTTCTAAGTATATTATTACATATAATTGCAAATACATGTGAAAGTAATTATATGATTACATAAATATAACTTTGTGTTGATTTTTTTGTATGCACAGTGAAGTTATACCTTTGCATTTTTATGATATTCAAGCAAAAAAATTAATCGACATTTTAAATGAGGAAGGCTAGATTACTGACAGTGTAAATTATCCAACTTTAATGATTTTATGATAATGTTATACAAGATTTCATATTAATTAGTTTATTTTCACAGATTATGAACGAGGCCCGATACTAGATAAGAGAAAAGGCTTCCAATTTTTCCAACCTATTCCGACAAAGTTGCTACATATTGGATATTTATTTCTATCAATTTGTTGTCAATGCACATGGCCAATTGCAACCGAGTAACGAACTCAATTTTAGTAAGAGTCTGATCAATTACATGAAAAGGGCTACTCTGGAGCTTGGCAAACCTTGGAACGAATGTAGATATTTGTGTATTCCTTGCTGTACCAACAACCATTAGTTCGTAGTTTAAATCGACTTGGAGGAACAGAAAATTTTTATGTTCGATAGTTTAAAGGATCACATTCGTAGGGCAACATTGAAAGTTTAATTTTTGCCTCTACATGTGGTTATTCTGTTGCTAATAAAATCCCGTGTCAGGAGTGAAGACAAATATAGCACAGAAAAATTCAAATTTGTGAATGTCAAAGATATTTCCCAACAAATAAATGGGTAAGATTGACTATTTTCATAATTGGTAGTACCCTATAATTTAACTGTTGAAAATTAATACAATAACTACAGAATTTTTTGGTAGATCTAACCGTATGATATTCACCATAAAATGCATAGAATTTCTGCGAGCGAATATGGATGTACATGTAATTTGATCGTATTACATACTAATATGGTGAAAGAGATTGGCCGCAGATTGTTGGCTTGGGACTTCGAGTTGTAGATTGTATTTTGCTATTAATGTTTCGACAACATTTTGTAGTTATTTTGTTCTTTTTGCTGGAATAGTTATTTTAATGATATTGATATTTTTATGATGTTGCCTAACTATTAGCTAGTACATTTGAAACTGTAATGATCATGGATATTGAATATAATTTCAATATAAATATTTTTCATAGTCTTCTATTATTTTCAAGTCTACATATTGTACATGTCAAGTTGTTGATATTATGCATATTTACGTAACAATATACACGTTGTTTCTGTGACATAAAGTATTTAACGTTGCTTTAATACAAAAATACACTCATTCTAATAATGACAATGAAATCACTTCTGAAGCACAAAATGTTATAGATGTCGTTCTAATACAAAAAGTGCATTGAATAACTAACGATATTGAAATCATTCTTGTAGCAAAAAACGATTTCAATATCGTTTCAATATGAAACACACACAGCTTAACTTATTTTGATAACGACATAGAAGTCGTTATGACTATACATAA